TAAATTTTTTTGCGAAGTGTATAAAAATAGTGTTCAAAGTATGCAAGACTTAAAAATGAGAATTCGGCAAGAAATAGCAAGAAAAATTGTAATTAGTAAGTAAGTTTTAAACTGAGGAGGCTTTTACTTGATGAAAATCCATTTATCAAAATAAACAAGAACTAAAAGTTCAGATTTTCACGAAATTATATATTTTGATATGACAATTGTTTCGACAACACCGTGCCTTTATCAAATGTATAACATTTGATAAAGACACGGTGTTGTCGAAACAATTGTCATGTCAAAATATCTAATTTCGTGAAAATCTGAACTTTTAGTTCTTTTTTTAAGTAAGTTTTATTTACTTGCATTACTTATTGATTTTATATTAAATTTAAGTAATGAAGGTATAAAAAAATATAGTTAGAATATGATATTATATAGGTTTAGTTAGGTTTGAAATAAAATACGCCAGAACTTCTAGACTACCAACTGTAACAAAAGCTATATATATGAAATGATACAGAATTAAATCCCAAACCCAATATAAGTACTAAAATAAAAACAAGTTGTTTTAATCAGAAAAGTCAATTTTTTGATGGACATTTGTGTCTACCGTGTATAATATTTTTTCGCCGTGGAAAAATCGAAGCATTAAATATTAGCCACTTCCGTGGATCCATAATAATAATTCCCAATTTTAGTTTTCAAGTTAAAAAAAAATACTTTTTTCCAAAGGCATGTTCTTTTCGCAAAGAAGGTCTATTTTTCTCAAAAACTACTCAAAAGTTAGCTTTGTAACGACAAAAAAGAGTCAAAATCAAGGAAATAATTAAAATTTTTAAGAATATTCATTAAAAATTTAATGACTATTTGTAAAAATCATCATCAACGGAACACTCTGCATACATAAAAATGCTATAAATAAAATATATAAATAGGGTCAACAAACACTTTTTATATTTAACTTCTTTTTCTCAGGATCGTACTCATTCCTATTATGATAACTTTTCGAAACGAATGATAATGTAATAATTCCAAACGAAAACATTTTAGAGAAATTCCTCTCAGAAAATTACGTTAATAATCGTTTGTACACAAAGAAATGACGCACAAATGTCTAACCTCCATTGCGGAAATGATTTCTTTGTTTTCCAAAACACTGACGTTTTTTTTTAAGCGAAAAACGATGACCCAATTCTATCCAGCGACATGCAATGAAATGAAAGTGACTGAACTTGATATTTTTAATCTATTAGGGCGCTAAATTAGCCTATTAATGCGGCAAATAACATTACCACATTTCAACAAAATCCAGGGAATATTTCTTTAGATTGATAAACAAATAAAATCTCAATTTTATTTGACTAATTAAATTATATTAATTGATAATAACAATTAGATATCGTAAAAATACAAAAAAAAACCTATAAGCTTACCAAAAAAATTGTTTTAATTGCTATTTAAGAATTGGTTCAAAAAGTACCACATTCTGTCGATTAAAAGTGAAAATATTCGATACCTAATAAGGACGGAGGTGAAAAGGGGGCAAAAACTCTGCACAAAATCTGCAAAGGAAAGCGCTCGCATTTCGATTTTCCATTTTCCAACAACTCTCGCAGGATATTACCATTAAAGGTAAAAAAATTATCGCATCTTTTTTACGAAGACTGTGAGGTTATTAGTACCTCGTTAATATGCATTTGTCACGTAGTTTTGCTAAATTAGTCAATATTTGAAATCCAATAAGCGCTGTTTGACTTTCCATTCACGGCGATTTGACAAAAGGTCTCGTGTGCAGTTACGACAAAATTCATCCTCGCTAACTCTAGGTTCTTTTTATGCAGTGTGCGGGAATTCGCGATTTTGTTTATGACAATTGGTTCGGTAACCAAAAGATCTGCACTGATTTCCGATATCAATTTTTTATATTTGTAATTGCGTGTCCTGAGCATTTTATAATTGCTTTAAAAAAATTCTTCTTGTTACCAAGTCATTATGAAAATAGTTCACCAAATAAGCGTATTTTGTCTGTCTCTCTGTGTATTGTTAGATTCATATAAGGAATTAATATGGCGAATATAATGAGTGACAAGTGATTTTGTAATACAATTGTTCGTTTATGTTGGGATACGAGGTTCGTGTAATTTGTTTCGTTTCCCACGGATCCGAGCCACTTCGGACATTTCCAGGATTTTACCGAGTTTGGAAGCAATCGAATGTTTTCGGAGATATTTCCCACGCCTTGAATTTTGACGTTTGCCAGTTCTGACGGCCTCGTCAGTTAATGTATTCGTGTTGTTTTGCGAAAATGTACCCAAAAAGTAACGGTCGTAGAAAAAGCATAGTATGAAACACATTCGGTAAACTTTTTAAACCACTCGTTTATTAAACACTGGCTCCGCTCGTGTGAAATAAACTCGTGAGTTAAATGCCGTTTACCGCACTTGTTGCATAATGTTCAATTCCGACTTATTTTTGATGAGATTCTTAGGTTTTGAGACTATTTATAATTTTTACCCATTGTAAATAAATGTTAACAAAAAGCTCTCCACTTTATTACAACTGTATTCTACTTAACCACTAGAAATAGGAGAAGGAAAAGTAAACGACAAGTTGAAATAATAAACAAAATATAGGAGGAAGATATTCAATACGTGCCTCCAATCAACACTATTTGTTAAATAGGAAAATATTCCATTTAAGAATCGAAAACAAATTAATAGTGACTTATAAAGTATAAAATTGTGAGATGTTGAAGCAATATCGGAAGCGGTTTTAGATAATTTGACTAAAAAGAGAAAAAAAAACAGATTTCTTGTAGATATTTGATAATTCACTAGCAATTGAACTTCTCGTTTGGTAATTAACATACTTTTTCAAAAACTACAATTTTTATAAAAAAAATAGACAAGAGAAAAAAATATGTAAAGTTAACGTGCGTTGGTAAAATTTGGGATTGTAATAGATAGATACTTACTTTGTTGACTACATCGCAGATTGTAGCATGACAAATATAAAAGATAAACAAAATCACAGTTGTAATCTGTATAAATATAGTCGGTACTATTTGTGATAGCACAGTCGGCAATAAAATGCCAGACAGAATAGAATACATTGTTCATCTTACATCCGGTTATACTTCAAAAGATATTGTTCCGCCCTAAATGTCTATCTGATCAATGGAAAAGAACCGTCGCTAACGATCACGATTATATTACTTGGGAGTAAGCGAGTCAGAATCACTTGTACTTGGCTTTTATTAATTTAACGCCACAGATGGGTGCATGCATTTCTATGTAATATTAGATCAGGTTGTTCCTTAAGATGCGAATATTTAAGTAGGCGAATCTCATCTCTATAAACAATACCAAAGAAAGCGGAAAATTATATATATATATATATATATATATATATATATATATATATATATATATATATATATATATATATATATATATATATATATATATATATATATATATGATGACACTATATTCCGGGATATCATCCGTTCGCTCGTTGAACTCCGACTGGAATCCTGCAAATCCTGCATCCGACTGGAATCCTGCAGACGTTTCGCCAAAATCTCACTTGGCATCTTCAATGCTCGCGCTCATATATATATATATATATATATATATATATATATATATATATATATATATATATATATATATATATATATATATATATATATATATATATATATATATATATATATATATATATATATATATATATATATATATATATATATATTCTACATTAATGTGGTGGTATAGCCTGTCTGAACCTTCATCGTGCTCGTTTTTGCCAAGTAGGTATTTCATGAAGATAAATTATGGATCTGTTGTCTAATCTATATCTTTTAATTTCTTGAAGGTAATTCAGTCTGTGTCTTTCCATTACTACTAAATCTCTTCCTACAAACAACTCTCTGGACGGTGACACGGCTTATATTTATATTGGTTTCATCTTCTTTTAGTTTAGCCAAGGTGAGAACAACTTCGCATTGATCACTATTTTCTATACGGTAAGTTTGAAAATCACTAAATTTATTTTCTTCAATTCTCCCCTATTAATAATATATATTATCCCTTATGGCGTTTTTGTAAGGTTGTTTTTAAAACTTCTTGTTTAAATAAGTGCATACGCATTTTTGATAACCCGTTTTGCACCAAGCGACAAACGATTTAATAAAAATAAGAATAACTTTTTCGAAACGCACAGTAAAAACGATTATTCAACACTATCAGAAATGGTCAACACTCAAGAAATATATATAAATATAGTTTGGTAACTGTCTGGAGCCAATCGACAATTTCTTCTTCTCTTGTTTGGTACACTTGCTACCCCGGTTTGTTGTAATTGTACGGTAACTGGGAGCAGGTAATTTGAAGGGTTTTGCCCATCTTAGTATACGAGTGGAAGCAGGTGAAACATTGAGGCACTTTCTCTCTTGGTTTTATGATCGACTGTGGCATCGCAAATCGTACCGACTATAGAATTAAATATAGGACAAGATATGAACAATATATACAATACGCATTTATTTCCCTTATTTTTTTCTAGAAATGCTCCAGTCGCACTTTCAAACTTTTTTCTACTAAGAAATTTAATATTTAAGGACATTTCATTATTACGCTTGAGTTTTTCCACATAATTGGCCGCTCGCAGGGTTTTTTTAATTGGGATTTTAACGTTTCACGTGAGAAAGAAGTAATAGAGAATAAAGGAATCAAATAAGATTAAAATAATGTATTGGGATGCGAGAAAGAAGCTGACATTTCCAACGAAAACTTGGAGTTTTTGGTCCTTTTTTTTATTTTCGGATAACGGTCTCAAACAGAAGCGCTTATATTTTTTTTGGTTGGTTGATCGGTTTCAGCTTTTACAGTTTTTTCACAGGGGGGCTAATAATTGCTTCATTTCTTAAGTCCCGTAGACTTCAAAGTCGAAGAATGCCAAGGGATTTTCGATTCCTGCGAGTGATTTCCCAGTCGTAAACGGTTTACCTTATGTTGTGAGCGAAAGCGATGAGCACCAGCAGCGCCACGGAGCCCCTTCGTGTTCTTTTAGGGCGCATACTGGAAACGCATCGTTTGAGTGCCAGGATCGCGAAACATCACTGAACCATCACTGACAACCCCCGAATTAATCAAAAACCGGCCAATTTTTTTTCGAACTTCGCGAGATACGAGGCGTCCCGCTCACCGAAAGAGACATACCACACGCGGATGGACTCGAAAGATAGAATACCCGGTCAGTGATGCTGTTTCGCTTTGACGTCTGTTTCACCTGGCCCGCGGACCTACCTGAGATAATGGACCAATGGCGCGTGATCTCGCCCCACCTTCGCGCGTTATTACTATACGTGGGTGATAATTACCGCAATGTAAATAGGTAATAAATATAAACACGAAATGCCGATCGTGTTGAAATGTTATATTGCGAAAACCGGTCGCCTATAAAATAATATATATAAGATATAATATAAAATATATTATATCGATGATCTTTAAAATAAAATGGCCAGCCAGGGTGATTACTTTTACGAGCACACTGTTTTGTAAATTTTGGCAAGGATTCTCGATGATGTGTTTTTGAAAGATCTGTTTTCATGAATTTCGGTCCAATGTTGAGTTCTATCCAATTAAATAACTAAAATATGGGTCTGAATATTATTAGGGAGGTGCATGATCAAAGTTTTCACATGACACCTTTTATAGAGGAACAGCTCTTGCGTGCTTAAAAAAAATGAATCCGATGGCATACCAACGTTTTTAGAGTATTGGGTTTGATATGTCCGCTAAAATCCTATCTTTTCTAAGTGGCACATTTCCATCACGTCTTAAAACAAAGTTATGCCAGTTTTCAGGGAGAGTAGTCGCCAGTTATAGCAGAACTATAACGTCCAGTAACAATTTCGAATAGTTTTTCTAAAGTGTTTGAATATGCTTCCTTAGAGAGATTAATTGTCACATTTTTATAGATAATCAACATGGCTTCAAAAAGTTAGAAGCACTTCAACTGCTGCGTATTCGTATTTCCGTAGGATAATATCCAATTCTTTACGATCCAGGTTGGGCGTTTGACTGTGTTGAGTTTACAGAGTCAATACTTTGCTAGGAGATCGTTCTCAATTTATATCCCTTATATTATAAATATAAATTCAGATAGTCACCGCATATTACATGTAAATTGTATATTGAAAATTTTACATGATACGCTTTTCGTGATATAGGCGGATGGTCATTCCTGGGTGTTATCGTGTTCAAATATTCGATGAGTTCTCGGAGATGTGCTGTAGGATGCTTGATAGATTGAAAAATTAGTCTAGATTTCAACGCGAGCACAACCCAAATTATAATGTTCCATAACTATTAGAAACGGGGTTATAATTTTCATATCTGCTTAGGCAATGACACTAACTCAAGTGAGGTTTCTAGGATCGAGTTTGGATGAATGTTTAAACTCAGCCGGAGAATTTTACAGAAATGGTTCAAGATCTCGGACGCTCAAAAATAATTTGCAGAATTTTCCCATTGCAGATTTAACAATTCCGTAAATCGTTGCCATTACTGTATACTGGTATATCGTGTGGATGCGTGTTGTGCAACTCGCGTTATTCGATGCCGCATTTTTTTTTAATTTGTCCGTATTAATTTCCCTTGAACGTCTCGTATCACTTCCGCCTTTCGACAATTGCGGAAATTTATACTTTTGTATTCAGGTACGCGTTTAAAGTCCAAAAATGAAAAAAATAATTGCTAATTTAATTTATTTAATTAATATTGATGATTTTATACAGCATGTGCACACTTAAAACCCGGTATTCATCGACGTTACGAGAAGTTGGAGTTATGTTTATTTATTTATTTATTTGTTTGATAACTTAAATAATTGTTCAAAATAAATAAATAAATAAATTTAAATTAAATAAATTCAAAATATTGACGCCCATATGTTTCGTCAAAAAAGACCGACAAACAAAAACCTAAAATAAAAATTGTCTTCTTTATGTCCGATTCGTCTATTCGTTCGTAGCATCGTACAATTCGATGGGGTAATGCTTTCTTGCTCTGCACCAGTGTCTAATAGAAGAGACTTTAACGCAGCCCATAGGAAAAAAATCTAACGGCGTGAGATAGGGCGATCTTGTTGGCCAATCCCACGGCCCCAAACGTCGAAACCACCGGTGCAGTGAGCCGGTGCCCCATCTAGTTGATAGCAGAAGTCCGAAGATTCTCGAGAAAATCATTTACCACTGTTCTTAATATTTGAAAGTATTTTGCAGCATTCAATGGTTCATCGCAAATTAAAAATCTCACTTTATTGTCTTATATTTAAAGTAAATTTCCAATTTTTTTTGTGGCACGAGAATTGTCGACAGACTATCCCTTCGATTGAAAGTAATCCGGCTTTTAGAGAAACTTTCCTTTAGTTCAGAAACCAAACGATTTAGGAATAGGAACTTGCAACATCATTCTCGTAGATAAATCATTAATTTTCGATATTAAGAAATTCTATTCGACACCTCTATAGGATATGTCCAGAATTTTAACTTTCCACTAACTCTAGTGTTGTAGTAATAAAAATATAATTGTTGCTATGTTTTGGTTCTAAAAAGGAGAAAAATAATTATTTTCGCGAAAACTATTAATTCAATTATTCAAAAACAATCTCACAAAGTATTAGCGGAGAGGAAAATGAAATAATATACATGGCGTCTCATTTAAAATTTCCATGTTGATGCTACTTTTTCGTAGAAGCGGTAACGCCGCAGCGTTAAAGATATTTTAGATCCATCAATTTTCAGAACAATCCGATGTACAGTTCGCTGTAAAAACAAAAAGTCCCATCAATAGCTTGGAGAGTATTTTGGAGAGTGTTCGTGATTCGACACTAGATGAACTTTTTGGGTAACCAGACCAGCAGGTGAAACGCCGCCCTGCTTAAAAATGGAGGTACGCAATATACAGGGTGTTTTCTAATTGAATGTCTAATGAAACTGTTTCAGTTAAGCTCTAAAGAAGCCAACAGGATGATTGGCGACTCAACAAAAACCGACGCAAGAGGTGTCCAGAAGTTTTATAAAAAGTAAAAACTAGATATTTTGTTTTAGATAGAGATTTCATTTAACACAAAAACGGTTCTCGATTTAATAGTCAGTGGCACGCCACTGATTTCCTTAAAAAATTGACATTTGCAATCATTTATGAGCAGATTTGATCTCTTAATTTTTTTTTTGTGATAACATATTATAAAAACATTTTTTATTTTTGAAAACTTTACCACCCGGTATCTTAAAATTTAAGAGAAGAAGTTTTCTTTTTTAAAATGTTAGAAGTTTTCTTTTAAAAATCAATCCTTTAATGATTGACATCCGATTAGAAAATACCCTGTGTATCTATTTTTTGGCGTATTGTGATTTCAATGTCATTCATTTTTCGACTAACGGGCGATCACTTTTGTTTCCCACCTATTTTTTTTTTCGCGACCACTCATTCATATTGGCCGGACAATTAAAAAAAAATACAATGCCGCCACGCATATTTCAACTCTGTCTGCCGGGCGGGATTTTTTGTCACTTCCGACGCGAACACAAAACAGCGGAACTACAGATCGCGATCTGTGGCCAGGTCCGTAACGTAATAGTTGTAAAGGGAATTGAAATACTAAATTAAAATGTTCGAAAGATACTTTATTTTTGTATTTTATGTGGTGTTAGGTTTTGCACAGAACTACTAAAAATATTATAAATATCATAAAAGGCAAACAAATAAAAAACGAACACGCGAAATGACCAACGCATTAAAGGAATAAAAAAATTGTCTAAATTCCCTATTGCCAAATTGGCATCGGATTACAGCTCAGTAATATGTGACTTAAATGTCACCTGCCCGTACAAAATTCAGTGATTTCTAAAATTTTCAGCACAACAATTTTTATAATGACCCGACCCAAATTTGCAGGGACATAATTTAATAATGACATGGTCAGATTTTTTACAAATTCAGCTTTTATGTGTTTGATAAACATAATCCTTACAAGACCTCCCTTATAACCAAAGCAAAAATGCCCATCCGAAATATAAAAGAATATAGAGTCCTTAGAAATCTAGTGACAACATCAATTAACATCACGGGCCAACAATTTTTAGACTTTTGAAAGTTGTTTTCGATTTGTCATTTGATTCTGTATAATTTTGTGGAAGTTTCTTTGAAAAATTGAATATTATCTTTCTTTTTAATTTAGCTTTAGTCACTCGTCAATATTATTAAACACTAAATTTATTGATTATTGACGTTTTAACTAGTAAGTAGAAAGTCATAAAAGAAATAAGCCACCTCCTTTGACAGAAATTATCCATTCCTAATTATCGAAATTGTCATAAAAACATTTTTTTGCCTAAAATATCGCTTTGATTGGAAATTAGAGTACTGTGATTTTCTAAATTCTATGGTAGATAAGGATGATGGGCGAATGAAATCACAGTTTCGATCAAAATGTTCAAATTTTACATTTAGAGAGTAAAGGGCACAAATTCACTGATATGTTTGGAACTGAGGATCAAAAGTTTTTAAGTGAAGTATCTCTTCCACACAAACTTTACCTTGACAAGTCTAAACCTTAGTACCATTATTATTATTATTATTATTATTAAGTTTATAGAAACATCTGCCGGCAGACATCCATTCATCCGGTCATTAGTCAAACGCGTAAAATTAAATTGAAAAATTAGCGTGGTTGGGAAAGCAACGTTTTAGTGCCTTTTTCGATTGTTAATCGATTTGTAATAAATATTCGCCGATAAACAACTAAGTATGCGACATCGACGTATTATTAGTATTAGATTTATAGATAGTCATATTTCTGTTTTTATATTGCGTTTGTAAAATATTGACTTGCCGCGAACAATTATCTCCGTGATTTATGCGTAGGATGCGGTGAGATACGCAATATATAAGTATATATAAATTAATACCGTCGTTTCCAATGGTTTTAGAATAAAATTTCGTTTTTTCGTGTTGTTTTCGTTACCAGTTTTCGGAGAAAAATTAAAAAACTTAACTCTCTTAACTTGAATTCGGGTCGTCGTGCTATGTCGCCAAAGAAAATGTCGTGAATGGTTCAATGTCGCTAAGAAGAAGAAGAAGAAGAAATGTCAATGAAAGTATCTTGTCAGATCGTAAACGGCCGTACTTTGAAAACTGTGAAGTGAAGTGTGCTTCCAGTTTGTGAAAGATGCTCGGTTTAAGGGTCGACGCCGTATACCAT